GGCAAAGGCTTGTGCTGTACCCTGGCTGAAGCCAACGTAGCTCAGCTTGGGCTGCTTGGTGACGTCCAATATATGGTTGATGGAATCCGGGATGTCGTGCCATGCAAAGTCGTCAATGCTAAACAAGGTGTGAGTGAGGCGGTTTTCCTTCAGCATGAGCGACCTTACCTAAAGTCCCAGAACTTGGAACTGTTAGGACCATAGTGGATGGATTTCTTGGAGTACTTGTTTCCCCTACCGGAAAGTCAGCGGATGCGGATTGTCAGTGAAGCGTTAACCTCGCACCTGTTGTTGCCTAGCCAGACATCATAGCCTTGCTCCACAAGCATAAACGCGAGTGAGCGCTCAGGTTCCGTCAAGCAAACCCAGACCTCGCTGTTCATGAGGAGACCGTGGTGCAGATAGATGACAGGCTTCCCAGTGAAAGTTCCTGGTCTAGGATTGGGCTCACCCCTCTTGCAATGCAAGCGATGCAACCCCAGCAGGTATCCGTCCTTTGTCAAGACGACGTGCTCTTCATGGGTATACCCGTGAAGCCTGCATAGCTCCTCAAAGTCTCTAGCGTTTAGAACAGCGTTCCCAGCTTTCTTCTCGTGTGATGTATCCTTTGGTGGTCCTGAAAGAGTGTTGAAGATTGTGCGAGAACGGCGGTAGAACCAATTGATGACTGGTTTGGGTAGAAACAGAATGATGATGTGAAGGAGTGACTCGATGGCGAGGACTGTAAAGCCGCCTATAAGCGCTATATAGTCTCGTATTCCAATTCGCCCTATTAGCGGTATTCTGGGCATATCGATGTGGTGGTGGTAGTCGTAGGTGGAGCTGGTCAACTGCCGGATTCCGTGCAAACAGGGGCCATCAGGGGCGATGCTGTCCCATTGCATCATTTCCTTGTGATTGTTGGGCGCTTGTTTCGATGCAGTCATGATACTACGCGCTACCAAGCACGCTCTCGTCCTAGCATCGGCCCTTGTCTTCATAACGCGATACGGGAACTTTGTGTCTCTCTCAGACGACATATCCCGTGAAGCGGCCGACCTTCACAGGCAATTTGATCATGAAATCGACATGGCGGTGGAGGAATTTCTCGGCCTGAGCTTGATTGCATCCAATGAAACTGTGATAACTCTCGGCAACGAAGATTGCAGAGGTGTTCTATACGAGACTGTCTGTGGGTACTTGGCGGGGAAGCGTGTTCTATTGGTAGGACCGGAAACAACCTACCACTTGCACAACCTGTGGCTGGACCACGTCGAAGGATACCGCGAACACTCTTGTCCTGGAATGCAATACTGCTTCTACCATCACATATGTCTGGGTGATCAAGCGCCACCTGCCCTTCCAGTACCTCGCGGAGTCAAGCAGAAGATTCCATCCCCCAACGCCCTTCAAGACAGTGGATCCGCTGCGCTTCAGTACGCTTTATCGTCTTCCTTGGCCACAGAAAGGGATCGAAGGAGCCGTGTGTATACTCGCCCTGTGGTTGACGCAAATACTGGCGTCCGTATTCACAATTACTTCTGGCTGCAAAAGGCGCGCAAGGCGGACATTATCGTACTCAGCCGAGCACCCATTCCATCTCACGCACGATCATACACCAACCGAGAGCTCATTGAGCCAAACGAGCGCATGGCGGTTCAGGCGGCTCTTGGAGCGTTTCTCGACCTGTTCCTTCCTGCTGTTCTGTCGACTCTTGAAGCAATCTCTGATGACCCTGACATTGTTCACAAGAACCTCCTCTGGCATGGCCACTGGTCAATGAATGCCCGTTGTACCAACTGGGGCTTACCGTTATCAGTTCCTCGTTTGCGACAGTTCTGGTCCCCAGATCTCGCATTGGTTGACCCATGGACCTTTCATTACAACGCCCAAAGTGAGTAAGAGCCCCTTCCTACCTGCTCCGACTCCTAACATTCTGAAGTCTACATTCAGAACCGGATCCTGCCGTTTGTACTTGGGCAGTACAACGTGGCATACTTGCCTATCGAAGGCAGACCTTCTAATCGCATTAAGCCATCGGAGCTCAAAGGGAAGCGCAAAGACTGTATTAGGAATCCAGAATACGACCTCGAAATCGTCTTCTTCGAAGGACTGGCCCGAATCCTGAAAGAGCGAACGACCACGTAGCAGTCATAGTTCTTTCAATATATTTTACTTCTTCCTTTTGTTTTTCGAAGCGCCACTGCTTTGGTCATCATCGCCCCTCTTATTACTGCCACCACCACCAGCTACGAACCCGCCGCGTTCGAGCGCCTGCTTCGCTACATCTGAGATCCGCCTCCATCTATCCGAGCCCAGTTTCACACCTCCGTACCATCGTGAGACGACAACGACTACCTTTTCTGCTTTGCTCAGTTCCAGCAAACGTGATAGCCTGTCCCCGCTTCCGCTTTCGCCTCCGTCGCTCTGGCCTACCACCACCTGTGATTGAGTGGAAGCACTGGCAGTGCGGTAGGCGTACATGCAATGGGTTGCCTTTTTCAGTGCTGGAAAACTGGTTATATGGTCTAAAAAGTCTGGCAAAGAGGATGCATCTGGAAGACTCGAAGCATGCGCTAAGAAGACGGATCGTTTGTCCGAGATTCTGTCAGACGCATAGACTGGGAACGACCACAACGCCGAAGTGCTGGCTTTCCGCAGCTCTTGACCTGAAGAGATGCTGTTAGAATGTCTTTCTCGTAGGCGGAACACGCGGGTGTACCTTCGGAATGCCGACTTGACGTGGAATTCGAACGAGGCGTTCCACACGGTTGGAAGCCACGCGCCAAGCTACGGCTCTGAGTGTCGGAGGCTCGAAGGTGAAACCTGGCAGCTCCGGCAGCAGCTTTCCCCCGCAGAGACCTCTGGTTGGTTGTTGGTACTCGAAGGGACCAACATGGTCGGAGATAAGATTGCATAAATCCAAATGGGTGAGTCCGAGCCTGCAATTGTAGCAGCGTTACGTTCATCCCGGATCGGATTCAAAGCCGGCAAGTTCTCAACTGGTGATTCAATGGTGAAGAAATCAAGATTCCCAACCTTGACTGACCTTCTCTTCCTTTCCCTGATATGTCGAGCTCAGGCCGGTCTCCTAGAGCTGCGATTAAATCGATGCAGCCCATGTGTCTGCCAGCTAGAATTGGCTGGGAATGGACGAATTCGATGATGGTTGCCCATTGTGAGAGGGCATGCATTCTTCGCAGACACGTTGGTCGTGCCCGGAAGAATAGCGATAATGGACGCTACTTTCTTGTGAGTTCATCTGCTGATTGGGATGTATCGTAACACTCACCCAGACCTCTACGTTTGCAGTGAGACTGGATACTTTGTGACTTCTCCGAAGGGCGGACAACCGCATGAGCATGTGCTTCCTGTTGCTCCTTCGCTCAGGATATATGTGCAGCAGGAATGTGCTGCTCTCTGCAACTGAGCACCCTACTAATAGCCACTTCACACACGCTACTTCTGCACGATGAGTACGATATCCTCAGCGTCGTCGGGCAGCTTCCCTTGCTTACCATCGTTCGTTAGGATTAATCATTCGAGAGGACGCCCCTGCCGTTGGTGACTACATCGCCAACTACATCTGCAAGCGGTGGGTGTACCACGTTGTTGTGACGTTCCGTATATCGTTCTCATCTTGTCAAAGGATCAACGAGTACAAGCCTACCGCAGAACGACCTTTCGTTCTCGGGCTTCCTACTGGTTCTTCGCCTATCCCCACGTACAAGGCTCTCATCAAGCTGGTGAAGGCTGGGAAGCTTTCGTGAGGCTTTATTCTTCATCTCTCGTGTTATCATCCTCATCCGTATCCCTTCAGGTTCAAGCATGTTGTGACCTTCAACATGGATGAGTATGTTCGACTCCCCAAAGAGCACCCCGAGTCGTACCACAGCTTCATGTTCCGTGAGCTCTTCAGCCAAAGTATGCCACTCCTCGCCAGCCTCCGCACGTTTACTGACTACTGCAAAGTCGACATTCTACCAGAGAACGTGAACATCCTCGACGGAAACGCGGAGGATCTTGTCGCTGAATGTAACAGCTACGAGGCACGAATCAAGCAGCACGGCGGTATCGAGCTCTTCCTCGCTGGTATCGGTGAAGACGGTCACATTGCCTTCAACGTATGATCATCTACCTTTTTGATACATGCTCACCTACTGACACTCGATTTCTGTAGGAACCCGGTTCGTACTTTTCGGTCTTTGGCCATGCTTCTTTATCCTCATCCCTGCCTTCATATAGGGTCATCTCTATCCTCCCGAACCCGTATCAAAACCCTGGCTTATGACACCCTTCTTGCCAATGCCCGATTCTTCAATAACGACATTTCCGCTGTGCCGCATATGGCCTTGACTGTCGGAGTCCAGACAGTGCTTGATGCCCGGGAGGTAGTCGTCGTCGTGACAGGACAACGCAAGGCTCTCGCTATCGCAAAGGCTATTGGTATGTCCTTCACCGTGCAGTATGCATGAGCGACGCTCATTTCCCATTTAGAGGAAGGAGTAAACCATCTCGTGAGTTTAGCCTCAGATTTACTGTCATCTCGGCATGCATGCTGAGATCGCTGCCAGTGGACACTTTCTGCTTTGCAGAATCACCCTTGGGCCCTGATTGTCGTCGACGAGGATGCCACCCTAGGTTCGTCTGAACCTCAGATGATGGCGACTTGCAAATGCTCATCCCATTCCAGAGCTGCACGTCAAGACAGTACGGTACTTCAAGTCCATTGAACAAGTTCAGGAAGAAGTGGAGAAAACTCAAGCAGAGCTCAAGAAAAGGGCACTAAAGGGGGCTGAAAACGGTATCGACATTCTCGACAGGGTTGCCATCACCATAGATTAGAAAGGCATTTCTCTCGTAGATCTCAGCGACCCGCGAGGAACATGTCGATCCATATCTTCAAACAAAACATCAGGTTCTTGCTTTTGGACAACGATTGCAATTATAGGGATTGGTTATGGTACAAGAGCTTGAGAGAAATATCAAAACATAATGTCCTTATCTAATAAGCGCACATTAGGTGCTACCAGGGTTCGAACCTGGGTTTCGGGAAGATCCAATGGGCTGAAACTGCCATTTCAAAATCCCGAGTGATAACCACTACACTATAGCACCATAAAAAACTCCGCTGCTCGTACTTTTATAAAGGCGGAGGCTTGCTTAGCTCTAAGTGCATGGCTTCAACTAGACGTGTAGATAAACAGTGCTTGTCGTTCATGAAGATATGCAGGGGAACCATAGAACAGTAATGACTAAACAAGGAAGGGGAAAGTCCGAAGTTAGTCCTGACAGAGAAAGAGCAACGGGCAGTAGACTAGCGGTATGGCATGGCCTGCGACGCGAATGAAGGGCGCTTAAAATAATATACACATTAGCTCAATAGATATGCTTATGGTCATGAAGTGTAGTGAATGCGAAACCGGCATAAGAACCAGAGGTGGTCCGAGGCGACGAACGATGTAGAGAGTAGGGCGAGGGAGGAGTGAGAGAAACGTCTACGCTGGGGTGGCCCAGATCTCCAGCTTGCCTTCGGCCTTGCCCTTGGCGTTCTCTCGGGCAGTTTCGATAGCAAGCTCATAGTCGGATTCGTCGCGAAGTGACACTTTGCCACCATCCTCCTCCTTGAACTTCAATCGAAGGTCTTTCCAAGACATCTCGAATTTGGCGGTGATCTTGTCGATGAATTCGTTGAAGGTGAGATCAGGGGAGAGCGTCATGCCACGAATCTCGTCCTCGAAGTGAACCTGCGGAACCGCATGATGAGTGTCCATGTCGAGCACATGGAAAGACAAAAACTGACCTTGACGCGAATCAGGGTCATCTCATAGACGACATCGTCGTATTCGCCGCTTCCATAACCTTCCTCTTCCTCCTCGTACGTGCTCTGTATCCTTCTCTGCGTTGCCCGTCTTGTTGGCTTCCTTCGCATCGAACCACCTCCATAGCTGGGTGCGTACTGGCTGTTGGGAGCACTTCTGGATTGACTTCTTCCGAGGTTGGGATTCAGAGCCGAGTTCTGCCTCCATGCAGCCACACGTTCAGTGTTGGGAGCAGCGTTTAATTGCGGGACAGGTGGCTGATCTCCGTAAGAATCGAGGTAGTCGTCGTAGAATTCAGTGATACGAGGGTCTGGGGCAGGGACATCTAGGTTGTCAGTTAGGCTTGCTAGTAAATCCGTTTCGGTGCAGTCGGCGTACCTCTCGGGGGTCCACGATTGGCGTTTCCTGGGCTGTCTGCTCGCCGGACTGTCAGGCCTCGTGTAGGTCCGCCAATCTGAGCATTGGCCGACGGGCGTCCTGGGGTGATCTGGGTGTTGCTCCTGTCAAGAACCACACCAGCCGAGACAGGGGGAGTCATGCCCCCGCCTGAAGTCAGTTCCCTGGCGTTGGAAGGAACATTGAGCGTAGTCTTTGATCGCTCAAGTCCTGCAGACTTGATTCCTGCTGGTGGCTATGAGTAACCCGTCAGAAAGAAACACGAAACCTGACATACCGCTCGGCTGTGCGCTGAGGGAGGCTGGGACTGTTGCACTTCGGGCAACGGATGTGCCGGCGCTGATGTCTGGGCGCTCAATAAAGACGCCTGCTGGTGTCACTCCCAATTTGAGTCTCTCGGCGCCAGTGAAGCCAGTGCCTTTGTCACGAGGATCAGCGGAAGCAATGAGAACCTATCCGAACACAAGGTCAGGAGGTAGCTCTACAATGAAACTCGGGGAGCACTAACCGGCGGAGCCATATACACCCGTTGCTTTGCATTGTCAAGCTTCTTCTTGGGCGGCCTGTAGACCATACCAACGGGCTGCGCGGAGTGTCAGTCTTCCGCCAACCGAGGAGAATCAAACAAACCTACAATGCTGAATACCGTATAGCCCCTCCCTTGATCTCTAATCGCCTCATCAATGACATTGTGATCTTCTGTTGCTTTGACCTGACGAGCCGCTTCCATCTGTCCGAGCCCAGCATCGACTTGTTGCATGTAGATGAGAGCAAGACCCATGTTGAACATAACTTCAGCCGAGTACAGCTTGAATTCCAACCCGAGTTGCTCGTAATTGCTGTGCCAATGTTAGTGTCTGGATGAGGAGCCGGCCACAAGACCACCCACATTGTTTGGTTAGAACGAAGGTGCAGCAGGGCTTCCTCAAAGTCCTTGAGGGCCAGGTCGTACCGTTGTAGGAGGAAATTTGACACCCCGCATTGGAAGTAACTGCTCCATTCGTCAATCTCTGTGTAGCCAGATGGTCCGAGAGCACGTACGCAACAGCCAGATACTGGTCGAGATTTGTTGCTTCTCGGAAATGCTCTACAGCATTCTCGTGCTCCCCGAGTGTTGCATAGATGAGGCCCATGTTCGTCAGGATCTTGGAAGAGTCTGCAATTTGCTGTGTCCCGAGTTAATCTCCTCGACGAGCAGCAACTGGGGAAGCGTACTCACCGAGAACAATTCCAGCGCCTTCTCATAGTCCTTGTCATCATACGCCGCCAGTGCGGCAGACCACGTCTCCAGTTCAGCCTTGAGCGACATGTTTGTAGCTTCTTCTAGTTATTGTTGATGAGAATCTGAAGTGATTTATGCAGCGTTCCAGACGCTGGTAAATGTGATAAAAAGTAAGAACTGGAAAGAAAGGAAGAAGGGATAAAAATGTCAGAGGACACAGTCCTTTGGGAAGAAGGCGAAGGAAAGAAGACAAACCTGGGTTGTATGCTGTTGGATTCCTTTGTAGTGGTCGTCAGGGGACATCCAAACTCCGAAAATGTCTCTCTCATTCAAATAGGCGCGCCCATTTCTAACTTTTCCACGAGTACCGTATCGCCCAGAAACAATGATGGATGATCTGCAACACTGTAAAACTCTGGCTCAGATCTGGCTGCACTCTGGAGCTTGCCAGGCCCCGACTCCAGGCAGTGGTTCAGCCTGCTGGTACTACTTCCCGTCCTACACCGCAGCAAGTTGCAAACCATCACTGTCATCTAGTGATCCCGATAGCAACAGACGTACAGCAGAGAGCCTGCAGCCAAGTTACTCTAGCAGCGATCAGCCTTCTCCATCGATATCATTCATTCATGTCACCAGGAACGCATAATGCCGATGTCATCCGTATCATAGTCGAGCAAAAGGGATGAATAAATTAACAACAACAAGGTAAGAGGGGAATCCCATTATTGTCCGAGGACAGATAGAAAGCCGATTAACAGTGCAGGCGATAATATAAGTACAACGTTCGTCTATTGTGAGCAAGACAAGGTGGGTAACAAAAAAAAGCACAACTCTAGTACCCTGATGGGCGAGCGTCTGCCTTGGAAGTGTCATACGCTCGAATAATCTTCGCTTGATCTTGTCGTGCGTTTTCTGTTTGACTGAAGGCGAATCCGCGGTTCCTACGCATCCGCTGTGTCGCTCGAACCTTTTTGATAGCCTTTTGAAACCTGTCACACAATTGTGAGCGAGAGAACGGCTACAGCCACGAGGTAAGACGTACTGCTCCTGCCGAGGCCTGTAGTCAGGAATGTTGTATTTCTGGAGCTCCTGCGCAATGTGGTACGATGACGGCATGTACGTTCGTCGGTAACTGTCCGCCATGGTGAGAAGGTTGGAATGCAAAGAGAGCAGGAGAACGCACTATTTCCACACGAAATCACGAACGAGGCAGATCAATGGCAAAAGGACGATCATTAGGTAGAACACCCCATCTCCCCAGAGCCTTGGCACCAGGCCCAGATACTCTGTCGAGAACCCGATAGCGGGAGCAACAATGGCGTAAAGGGGTAGGAATGCCATGGTGAATAAGAATGAGCCTGGGATAGCAGCAACGGTATATTTGGTCCAGATGCTACCGGAAATGCGTTAGATATGATATCGCTGTGTGAAAGAAACGGGAGATGAACTTACTCAGAAATGAGCGCTGCCTTCCCTAGAACAGTTAGCAGGACTGCGAGGTAAAGGCCAGTTCCCCAGAACCAATGGCCGCTGTCCAGTCCGCCAGCCAGTTTCAGATCACCCCAGAAGAGGATGATGGAGAAACCATAGAGAACCTTGGAGTAGCGTCAGGTTGGAAGTTTAACAAGCGAGAAGGTACATCACATACCAGGCTGTGATACAGGGCGTTGGCAACCCAGAGCCAGAAGGAAGTCTTTGTGAAGAACTCATTCTTCTGCCCAAGAATGTATAATTGGGGGTAGCGGTCCAGAATTCGCGCTGAAACGAATTGGTCGAAGATTCCGATGACCAAGGGGGGCAGCACGGTGAACAGGACGTTGTACAGCGAGAGTGTCCAGGATTCGTAAGCGATTTGGCCGGAGAAGTTGTTGAAGAATGAATACTGGAATTGAGATGTCAGCCACCCCCACAGCACGATGAATCTTCTTCAACGTACCCAAAACTGAGTCATGTACAATACGATGTTCTTGTAGAACGAGTACAGAATCAGCTTCGACAGTCGTCGATAACTCCATGCCCCATGGACCAGGAGGAGTTTCTTGAGGAACCTGAACTGTGAAATGGCAACATCCGCAGACCTGGCGGCTTGTAGACCCTAAAATGCAAGGACTAAGTTCCCAAAGACCTCCTATGCAGTTAGTGGATACGCACCTCAACACCCGAGATTCCGACGCCGACATGGGCAGCCTGGATCATACTAACATCGTTTGCACCATCTCCGATCGCAAGTAAGAGTGCTTTCGAATTCTTCTTGACCAACTTGACAACAAGGGCCTTCTGAAGCGGTGAAACACGGCCTACATTGATGCAGTCCATCAGATACGTTGAGCGTATAATCATCAAACCACGTACAGCATATCACTGCTTTACACAGGATAGCAAGCTCCAAAAAAGTCTTTGAAAGCTCTTTTTCGAGTGCGAAGCCTAAACTCTTGCCGTCTGGCGGATAGGGGTTGTCAACACACTTGTTAATCTAAGCAGCGCTTGTCACATACCGATTACCAGTGCCAGATCTTCAAGCTTTCCTGTGCTGCGCTGGTTCTTGATAGCAGACAAACGCTTGGTCAGGAACTCCGCTGTATCCTGTGCCGTCTCCTCGTTGACAGTGACCTAAACGTTCGAGTAAGCAAGGGATGCACGAGGAGGATCATTGCTCCTACAATGTTCATAGATTCTGA